CAGAGACAGAGACAGAGAGAGAAGAAAAAAGAAAGAAAAAGAGAAATATTCCTGAATTCTACAAGAACTTTTGGGAAGAGACCTGACACCAATACTCCTCAAACACCTTAATGAAATAAAAAAGGGAAGGTTTACACCCAAAGTCATTCCTGGAAGAAAATACTACCTTGATTCCAATACCAGAGAAAGATCCCACCTAAAAAGGGAACTACAGGCCAAACTCTTTAATGAACATTGACACAAAAAAAATCCTTAACAAAATACTGGCAAAAAGAATGCAACAAATCATCAAAAACAATACCCATCATGACCAAGTAGGATACACTCAGGGATGCAATGATGGTTGAACCTATATAAATCAATAAATGTAATGCATCACATAAACACAAGCAGTGACAAAAATCACATAATCACCTCAATTCATACAGAAAAAGAAAGGAAAAAAAGACAGAAGAATATAGGTATAGAAGAACCTTTTCTCAATTTGATAAAAAAAAAATTATGACAAACCAACAGATGGGGCAAGGCTGAAAGACTCCCCTCTAAAATCAGGAACACGACAAGGAGGTTCACTTCACCATTACTGTTAGTATAATGCTCAAAACATTAGCCAGAATAATCAAGCAAGAGAAACAAACATGTACTGGAAAGGAAAAAGTAAAACTGTCATTATTTGCAGATGACATGATCTACATAGAAGACCAAAAAAATTCCGGCAAAAATGCCTATAAATAATTACCAAATTCAGGAGTATAGCAGGGTACAAGGTCAACACACACCACTAGTACATTTATACACCAACAATAAACTCACCAAGAGACAAATTAAGGAAATGAAACCTCTCACAATAGTATCAAGAAAAAGGAAATACGTAGGACCTAACCAAGGAAGTAAAAGGCTTCTACACCGAAACCTGCAATACTCTGTAAAGAGATTGACTGGAAAGATATCTTGCTTTTGGACAGACAGAACCAATATAGTCAAAATGGCCATACTTTCAAAACTGATATACAGATTTAACACAACCCCAATCAAAATACCAACAGCATTCTTCACAGGACTAGAGAAAACAATTTGGAAATACACATAGAACCAAGAGAGACCTAAATAGTAAAAGCAATGCTGGACAACTAGAGCAAGGCAGGAGGAATCACAATTCTTGACTGCAAAGCTACAGTGATTAAAAACAGCAGAAAACAGACATGTGGATCAATGGACAGAACAGCAAATTTAGAACAAACTTAGCATAATTTGCTACCTGTTCTTGATCAAAGTGCCAAAAAATTAAACTGTAGGAAAGATAAGTCTCTTTAATTAATGGTGCTGGAAAAACTGGCTATAAATATGTAGAAAATTGAATCAACTCATATTTCTCACCATGCACTAGACTAAAATCGAAATAGATGGAACAGGTAAATACTAAAATAGAAACACTTAATCTGCTGGAAGATTAAGTAGGTAAAATTCTTGGAGACAAAGGTGTAGGCAAGGACTTTCTGGACAAACCTCAACTGCACAAGAAGTAACGTCAAGAATCAACAAGTGGGATTATATCAAATTTAAAAGCTTCTGGACAGTAAAGAAAGAGAGACAGTCTACAGAATGAGAAAAGCCCTTTGCCAGCTATTCTTCAGATAGAGGACTAATATCTAGAACATAAAAGGAATTCAGTATAATTAGACCCACCTAAATTAAAAGAAAAAGATGAGCAACTTAAAAGATACTTCTCTGAAGAAGAAATAGAAACAGTCAGCAAATGCATGAAAAAACGTTCAGCATCTCTGGCCATTAGAGAAATGAAAATTAAAAGATCACTAAGATTCTATCGTGCTCCAGAAAGAATGGTTATCATCAAGAAATCAGGTACCAACAAATTCTTATGAGGCTGCAGAGGAAAAAGAAGCCCTCCTTTATCATCAGTAGGAAGGTAACAGTACAATCATTAAGGAAATCAGTATGGAGACATCTCAAAAAATTAAAAATACAAATTCCATTCAACTAAGCTGTTCTCCTAGGTATCCTCAATAGTTTTGGTTTTTTTTTTTTTGTCTTTTTCCTTTTTATCGGTACCAGGGATCGAACTCATGACTGCCTGCTTGCAAGGCAGACGCTTATGCCGCTGAGCTAGATCCCCAGCCCCTAATAGTTTTAATCACCATATTATAGTGCTCACATTTATAGTAACACATGTTACTATAGTAACCCATGGCCACGTTTATAGTAACATAATTCACAACAGCTGAATCTTGGAAGTGACCCATATGTCCATCCACAGGTGAATGGATGGAGAAAATGTGCTATTTATACACAGTGGACTATTTACTGCTTGCCTACAAAAGATAAACTTCAGCCATTTGTAGGAAAATGGATACACCTTGAGACCATAATCTTAATTGAAACAAATCACACACAAACTTAAACATTTTATGTTTATTTTATATGAGAAATCAAAAATATACAGAGCAAAATAAAAGACAGATAATGGGGGGGGGGTAAAGGGAAGTCAGGAAAGTACGGAAAAAATGAAGCCAAAAGCAAAGGATGGGAAAGAGGATGTAAAAGAATTAAGATGCGTTAGATACACAAATAACGCCATGTAATGAATACAATCAGTATGTACTGCAAACATATACTAACACAAACAATACTGTACATGCAATACTGTTTGCAACACAAACAATACTGTACACAAACAATACTGTACAAGTTCATCACTTCCTTAAACAACATTTCCCTCAACAGGAATGCTATTGAGTAGGTGGATTACTCCACACTGGATTCTGTTCCAAATGGGAAGCTACTTGCAGGTAGACGGGTGAAACTGGATTTGAACGTGTGAAACTGGACATATTGTTACATTAGGTTGTCCCAGTAAGTGTACTCCTGGAACACAGGTCAGGGGCAAAGGAAAGTGCTCTCACAGGTCAGGCCAGTTTGGTGGTACGTGGGCCACCAGAATCTGAGTGGCCCTGCTCCTTCCTCAGAAAGCGCCTGCCCATAACCCAGCATTTGCTAACAAAGCTCTTTGCTTTTGAATCTATTGAATCTAGATGCCAGAGTGTATGCTTACAACTTTGAGTACTACAAAGGGAAAAAAATGTTGCCAATTAAATAGTGATACAGTGTTTTTTAGCAACCTAAAGTATTTCTTAGAAACTGTTTAAACTTAAGATAATCAGGGTCTTTTTTCCTCGTATTTCAGCAAGTGTTAGTGATGTAGCGTTTCTTAAAAGGTACTCTAGGACTGAGATATATCTTGATGGTAGAGTGCTTGCCTCACATGCAAGATTCATGTTCAATACCCAGTCTGGGGAAAAAGAATTCTCCACTAGATTTCAAGATTTTCTTCTACACTGTTGATTCCTGGCCTGTAAATTTTTGTGTGAATGCAAGACAATGAAAATTGCGTCATTACTGCTGCTTGGCCAACAGCTATTAGTGGTACTGCAATATGTGAGTGGGGTGCAAGATCAATGTACACAGTAGTATGTGCATTTCCAGATGTACCCCAATGCTGAGAGATTTGGGTAGTGCTCACTTTGCGACATCCATGCATATGCAGTGGGATATATAAACCTGGAACTCAATCAAGAGATCAAGGATAAACAGGTTTGTAGAACTGGCATTTGTAAGCAAATGGATTAAACTCATGGGCCTGCACATGGTCACCTGTTGTGATCTGAATATATCCTCCAAAGTTCGTAAGTGGAAAACCGAATTCTCAATGCAAGAGTGATGGGAGAGGGGGTTCTAATAAAAGATGATAAGGTTATGGCCTTCTTGAACAGACTGATGTTGCTACTGAAGAAATGAGTTAGCTTGAGAGTGGATTTCATACCAAGGTAAAGTTCAGCTCTCTCTTGGTCCCTTCCTTGTTCTCACCGTCTTCCCGCCTTCCACCCTGGGATGACACAGCGCCAAGGCCCAAACCAGATGCCAGCATCATGCCCTTGCATTTCCCAGTCTGCAGAATTCTAAGCCACCTAAACCCTTTTTCTTTATAAATTGCCCACTTGCAGCTATTTCCATAGCACCAGAAACCCGACTAAGACACTGTCTTAACAAAGTCTAGGGAAGAGAGCCAATGCTGAGCCTTAGAATAAATATTTAGAAATCTAGAAGAGAAGCCAGCCAAGCCAACTGAGTGAACAACCTTGGTGGCCCAGACTGGACGTCATCCCCAAAGCTAAAGAGGAGGAGGACGGCCAGCTACCTCATACACCGCTGGCCAGGTCACACAAGAGGCGCGCGTCAAAAGCCACTGATTTCAGCAGCAAGGAGGTCATCAGAGACCTCGACCAAAAGGACTGCGAGTGGCTGTGGCCAGCACAGAGGGAGCTGGCTGCAGAGCAGACAGGCTGGAGTGGGAGAAGGGATGAGGTGTCCAACCCCTTGGAGCAGCCGAGAGCGGCGGCCAGTGGCGCCAGCCCTTCCGAGGCCGTGGAACCTGAATGCAGGACGGTTCCGGAGGGAACCACGGCTGCGAAACGACTCGCAGCGTAAGAGCAAACGGTGGTTCTGGCCGGAAGCCAGGGCCACGGCGGCGGCAGCCTGCAGGGCGCAGGCTCTCCACGCTTCAGCCTCTCCTGCGCACCTCTCTCCCGCCGTCCCGTCGCCCAGCTGGTGCCCTCAGAGCCGCACACCAGGGGCGCCGCAGGGCCGGGCACTTGGCAGGCGGCCCCTTTGTTGCGGAGACCCCCTCAGTTTCCCGGGGACTCTGCACCGTGCGGCTCAGCATCCCACCGCCTCCCCCACCTATCTAGCAGCTTTCATTGAGCGGTTTCTATAAGGAAGCACTATTCTTATTCCGGGACCGGTTTAACTTCTGTGACGATATCCCGCCATCAGCCCGGGCCCGGCTCTTTCTACCCCTAGACACTAGGGCCCTGCGCTCCCCACTCATCTCGCCACAATTTCCGACGTGGCACAGACCATTGCGCATGCTCCGTAGGGCGCGCGCCCGAGACCGCCGTTATTGCGTCAGCGCGCACAGCGTGTGTGGGCGGGGCGCGCCACGTCGGTGCCTGGCGCTCACGCCCCTGCCCGGCGGCGGGGTTGATGTACCCGCGCGGCGCGCGCCTCACTCGCTTCCTCATAGGCGCGCTCCCGCCCCGGAGCCGCCGCCCCAGCCCCAGATCAAGCTCCAGTCCCTTGGAAGCCCGGTGTCACCATGTCTTCGCCTCCCGAAGGGAAAGTAGAGACTAAAGCTGGACACCCGCCCGCCGGTACTGACTCTTTCCGCTTTCTCGGGGGCGCCGGGCGGGTAGGGCCCGGGTACAGGGTCGGGGTCCGGGCGCCCTGGTGCGCATGCGCGGGCGCCCCGGCCTGCGAAGGCCGCCCCGAACCTGCGACCGGCTGCACCCTGCGGGCCCGCGCTGCGAGCACACGCTCCACACGCCCGCGCCTGGGGGCTGCACGCGGAGGGGGCGGCCAGAGCCGCGGGCGATCTGAGCGCAGTTTCGCTGGTTATTTATTCACTGCGAACGTGCAGATGCAGGAAAAGAAAAAATTAAAGGGCAGTGTTTTTCATATGATGATCGCACTTTACACGAAAGAGCCAAAGAAGCGCAAATCATTCTTAAGCGCAGTCTCTCAGTATGACTTCTTTCACCACCTCTTTCCTGTCCAGCTTTTGTTCAAAAGTCCTTAAAAGAAAAACAGCAAATCCTAAACTTCTGAGCCAAGGAAGTTAGGCCCGGGAACGGGCCGTCTTTTTTGGACAATAGGAACTGAAGCAACCTTCTGTTCGTGCCCACAGTTCACACCGGTCGGTTTCCATCGCTGCTGTCTTTCCGGAAGCCACTTGTCTCTTTGGAAGGACAGTGGTGAGTGGCCCGAATGCTTCGGGCCCCAGAAACTAAGTCCCATCAGGGTGCGAGGGCCTTTTAGGGCCATCGTTACACACATCAATGCTAAAAACTCAGTCTTCTGGTACTGGAAGCTTAAAGGAACTCTTTTATGCCATAGAGTGCGGTGATCTCAGACCTTTGCCTCTCCCCTTCCCCACAGGGCACGCACTATCTGCCTTAGCAGGGAATTTGAGCGATTCTTTAAATAGGCTACATTCCAAGATAGAAATAAGATGTTTCTCAACAGCAACAAAAGTTAACCAGCAGTGGGGTGGAAAAATGCCTGACTTAAGAGGCAGAGGTGTAGAAAGTGGCCCGCTGTAACGGGAAGGGATTGGGGAGCTTTGGTGTTGCATTGGTTTAAAAAAAAAAAAAAAAAAAAGGAGGCTGGGGTGTAACTCGGAGGTAGAGGACTGGAGAAACCAGCACCAAAAAGAAAACAAAAGCAAAAACACCCTCATCAGAATCTCCGTTCAGGATAATTGACCTTTCCTTCCTGCAGCCGGGGTTTCTGTCTGCTCCGCAGGCCGATGAGGTGGTTGATGTGTTTCTGTTGGAACAATTCCAAGTCATGGTGGCAGTGAGTAGGTTGCATATGGAGACATATGCGTAGGGAGACTTTTTTAAGATCAGAGGTATAAACTGTACCTATTAAGTCCTTGGGGGAAATTTCCTGCGGGATTCTGATTGAGTTGTGAGCAGCTAAGTTTTTGAATTTACAAATTAAAGGGCTTATCTCTGCCTATGGAGAGAGGAGGCCGCTTGTTTGCATTGATTGACTCGGGGCTTGGGCCCAGGTTTTGAGGCCCACTACTGCCCTTTTCTGAGACTGATTTCCTCATCTGTGAAGCAGGAGGCCGCCTCCATCCTCCTCTAGGCGGTGGGAGGAGGGACTGCCTGTGCTGCTGGGAAGCTGGGACTCTCACTCTGTCGCCTGCAGCTGTCCCCCTTCTTCAGGATCGAAGCCCTGGGGCAGGTCATCCACTGGTAAACTCAGCAACTCCAAGCCAGGTCCCCTAGTCTGGGGACCCCAAATTTAGCAGGTGGGCTGAGGGGAGCTGTTGCTGCTACTTGGCGGTGTCGCAGGCCCCTTAGAGACATGATCCGAGCTGAAGGAAGGGGCGGGGCCCCGGGTGAAGGTGCCTGACTGCTGCGGTATTACACTCTCCACAGGGCGTGTCTCCCGTGCACACCCATCTGCAGAGGCCCCTGCGTGCACACATTTTCCTCAGAAAGTGCACAGTGTTATCGTTTACTCTGGCATTGTCAGAGAATAGACTTTTAGAGTCAACATTAGGCCAAAAAAAAAAAAAATGCAGCTTGCTGTTACAAAGGGTAACCATCAAGGGTAACTAAGAGCACAGTTCATAGATTGAAATAACTGCCTTATAAACTTTGGGAACACTTTAATTAAGTGACTAAATTGTTTAACAGACGTGTGTTTAAATCTTCAGTCCGAAATAATAAAAAATTCTTCCACAGCGACTCTCTTGCTGTTCTTTTGTGTTTTCTCTTTACTGCTCTCAGAACCCCATCCCTTCTCCTCCTGTATCCCCGTGGTACCCCCCCTTCTCCCTCTCTCCGTGCCTGCCTTTCCTCTTCGTGCTTCCCCAGTTGGGTCAAATGCATGTCTTCATCTACAGTGCCTGGCACAAGTAAACTCAGTAAGTAGCTCCAGATGGTGCTTCTTTTTCTACGCGTCACCGCTGTGCCACTGCTGCACGGCGAGCTGGGCCCGCAGGCTTGATCTCAGAGCCCTCTGCAGCCTGGAGTGACGGTACAAGGGTTGGTTGCCTTGGCCCATTTAGGCGAAACAGTCACGAAATCTGTTGAGTGGAACAGCGTGTCCACACACTTCTAAGAACCTGACACTTTCCTTATGGTAAGGGCACTGAGGACAGTGCCATCCACAGCTGTAGTGAGCCCAGCCTGGGCAACTTAGCAAGACCCTGTCTCGATAAAAGGACAGAACATGTAGCTGCAGAGGCCTGGGGTTTGATTCCCAATGCTACAACAAGACCCTGCCACTGCTCTCCAATGCAGAATACTTTGGAGAAGGGAGGCGAAACCATGTGTGATGAGAATGACTACAAAGCTACATGAGCAGACAGAATTAGTGGAGGCTTCCTGCTTTATCTAACAGCAGTAATAACATCCCACAGCCTGTACAAGGCACACTATTGCTCCTCTCTGCCAGACCTTGGCTTTGCCAGTGGTGTGGATGAACTCTGTAGATGCACGTTGCTGGCCCTGTTCTTACGCATCCCCATTTCCCAGGGGAGCCCGAACCCTGTGTCAGTAAAGTCTCCTAAATCACTGTTGTGTTTTGCTAACTTAATGTCAATTTTCTGCAAAAAGTAGACAACGTTCGTATGGATCTGAGTCAAATGAAAATAATGAGCATGATTGTACCGAAACTGAAGTGGGAGATACAGACCATTTTGCTTCTAGTAATTCAGTTCTGTTGCATGAATCAAACTGGCATTGAGGCTGCATTTAAAAGGTTACAGGTGATGACTCTCCCTGAATTATCTTCCTGCAGGTAGGTCTTCAGGTGGTCCAGGCGGCTGTGCTGCTAGAATTGGAAGGCCGATCTGTGTTTTGCTGTATGTAGCTCCCCCTCTCAGGCTCCCTACACAGGCTCCCCATGTGTGCGTCGTCAGCCCTGGTCAGAGGTCACAGGCACCAGGAGCAGGGACTGGATCTGCCCTTGCTATCTCCCAGCATGCACAGGACCAGCCCATTAGTCAATGACTGTGTTGTTTCAGCAGCTGCCAAGCAGTTTGCTTTCTCTGGGGTGCAGGTTCAGGAACGCATCAGGGACGTTGCTTCCACTTGTGCGCATACCAGCACACCCCTGGCGGGACCCACATGGCCAGGGGTAGATGCAGGGCTGTGTTGTGATCTCCACTACTGATGATGCTGTTGGACATCAGTACTTGGGTTCCGCAAACATTTTCTCTGCCTTGGGCTTCTTACTCTCCTCCGATTTCCCCTTGCAGGCTCCCCACCCTCAGGTGTCAGCCTCCATGAGAGACTGTTGGATTGCCCAGTGATTCCAGTCTCCTCTGTCCCCAAAGATCTGCCTCTCTTGACAGAAATAGACTGCATTCCCAGCCAGGCATGGTGACCCATTCACCTTATATGTCGCCCTCCTGCACAGCCACCCTGCAGGGTAGAACCCAGAGGCACAGCCAGCACACTGCATCCTGGGAGCTGCAGAGGCCCTCACATGCTGGGCCTCCAGCCAGCACATAGTATCCGCCTGGAGACAGATCTGGCTGTAATCCCAGCCCCCTGAGCATAGAAGCAGGAGGCTCACAGGTTCCAGCTCAGCCTAGCAGTGTAGTCAGTGAGTGAGACCGTCTCAAAATTAAATTAATACATGGAGGCCCGGGTATAGCTGAGTGCAAAGATAGGTCCTGGGTTTGGCCCCCAGTACCACAAATTAATTAAACTGGATTCAGTGGCCAAACTGTTTTGTCCCGTTCCCTTCAGGAAATTCCTCCCTCCTCTTCTCTCAGGACATGGAGGCATTCAGTTCTGTTTCCCCTTGCTCACTGCCACCGCAGGACTCTACCTGAGAGCCTTAAACATAATCCTACCTATAGCACGCTGGCGATTTTCTTCTGTTCTTCCTGCCAGAGCAGTCCTGAGGACCTCTCAGCTCCCTAGGGGGACTAGCATCCCTTGGAATAACATCTCAGCTCTTCCCAGGAGAACAAAGGCAACTGCACTTGCCAGTCATGCTTCAGCTCCTGCAGGCACCGCTTTGGGGACACCTGTGTCCTCAGCAGCCCCTCCTCCCTGCTGGACGCTGCATGCAGCTCATAGGCTCCTATGGCAGCAAGCAGCCCTGGGAAGACCTCACTGCCCACCCCTCCTCCCCAGGTTTCCCAGCCTGCTAATGTGTGTTAGCAGTACCCTGATGCTGCAGGAAGTGTGGCCAGTGACGGTCCAGAGTCTTGCCTTCCCAGAGCTCCTGGACGTGACACAGTACCTGGGATCTGTCTCCAGGCCAGTACCGTGGGTCACTGCAGTGCCCAGCTCTGTGTTGGCGGGATGGCCAGCAGGTGACTGACTGTGGCCCCAGAATGCCATGTGTGCTGCTGGGCAGGAAGGGTACACATGGGGTGGAGGGGCAGCACCTCGCCCAGCAGTGATGAGACGGAGCATACCTGGCTGTTACTCAGGCCCTGGAATTCTCCCAAAGCAAACAGAAAACTTTTAAACTAGGATTCACAGGTGAGCAAAAAGGGCTGTGCTGCGAACCACAAAGGAGACTGATCGTGAACGTCCTGGTGATGTTTGAAATGACCGAGGCATGTGGTGCTGGCTGACAGTCCTGGTGACAGTTGCATGGCCACTTGGTCCACACTGTGGTTGGCGTGCCTGTCGTGTATCTCCTCAGCTGCATATGGCTGGGTGCAGAGATGTCACACACCAGGGAGCCGAGCCCCGCAGGAGGACTCTGCAGCGATGAGTTCTGATTTGTAAAGCCTGTTCACCAGACTGTACGGCCCTGCTGGAGGCATTTCTCACATCCTCTGCTGTCCCTGGGAAGCAGGACACTGTCACTCTTTCTTCCCAGATGGAGGACACATGTGAGCACACAGGCAGAGCTGGGATTTGAACCCATCAGGCCCAATCCGGGGACCCAGGCCCTGCATAGCTCTCTTGCTAAAAGGAGATGTGACACTCTCGTGTTAATAACAACCACCACAACGAAAATCTTTCTTTTTCAGTGTTTCCTCATGAAAATACCTAGGTTCTCAAATGATTCGGCAGAGATTTCTGAAAACGTTATTCTGCCATTGTAGTTTTACGAATGGAGACATCCAGAGACACTGATGCAACCTTCACAATGAATACGGCTGTCACATTTTTTGGCAGGAGTGCAAGTTCCAATGAATCCGTCTCAGCCTTGAGTTATTGTTATTATCGCCACTTTTTATTGCTGCATTAATCACCAAACATACTGAGAGGAATTAACAGAGTGAATTGTTTTTAGCGTCTGGATTAAATGTGAGCGCTCAGGCTGGGCGACTGAGCCCTGACGCGGGGTCCTGCTTTGCCAGGGGAGTGGGTGAGCACTGTGGAGTCGCGCTGGTCTCAGACGTCACCTCGACAGTCATTATCGGTTTCCTTTGTGCTTAGGTGCTCAGCCCTTTTTACTTTTAGTCAGTTTATAAAACACATCTGTGAGTAGTAGTTTAAAAGGTGTATCTTCCAGGCAGCAAGGACTCGGAGCCCCTTTCTAAACAGGCACCGTAACCGTGCCACACCTGTGCAGCTGAAGCAGCAGACATTCGTGTCCTTGGTTCTGGACACTGGAAGCCCAAGACCAAGGTGTTGCAGGTCTGGTCTCACCTTCTGGCCTGTGTGTGGCATGTGGATGGCCACCTCCTCCCAGGGACCTCACAGAGCTATTTCTCTGTGCACGTGCATCCCTGGTGCCCTCCTTAGAAGGACACAAGTCCTATTGGAGTAGTACCTACCCTGTTTTACCTTTATGACCTCTTTACAGAACCTACCTCCAAATCCAGGCACAATCTAAACTTATAGGTGTTAGGACTTCATGTTCTGTGCCTTAGTGGGACAGTTCTAAGTCCTTCCTTTCAGCAAAAACAAACTTCTCAGAGCCCACATTTCAGGATAGAGGTAGAGAGCTATCATTGTATACTACAGAAGCAAAGACATGAAATCAGAGCATAAGACCTGGACCCACACACGGGACAGAGCGGGACCCCAGGCCCCAGCACAGGGCTGGATCCTCACAGGCCAGAGCTGGACGGAGACCATGAGGGACACAGGAGGATAGCAGCAAAGCTGGGCGGTGTCAGCCTGGGCCATAGATGTGACAGGTGTCCCCTGAGAACTTGTGAGCACAGACTTGCTTTTCCGTGAGTTGAGTTCAGGTTTGCACGGTCTGGTCTGGCAGTTCCCATTCTGAGAAAGCCATAGAAAGGGTGCCCAGGCACTGTGCACATCTGAGAGAAGTAGATGCCCCTCTGTCCAGAGGTGCCATCTGCTCCAAAGCCACAGGCCCTAGCAGTGGCCAGCACCCAATCCGAAAGCACCCAGCACAAGAGTGAGAATCAGCAGACAAATCGCAGGATTAGACCCACAGGGACCTCCAGGATCAAGTGATGAACACAGCTGTAGGCAGCTGTGCCTAATGACTGTCAAATATAGAGAAGGATGGGAAATAAAGAGAGGGAAGAGGAGGACCCCGTCAAATAAAGTCCTGTTGAATCAGACAAAAACAGATGCTCTAGAATCAGAAAGTGATTAGAAAGTCAGTTAACTGTTGTACAAAGCAGGTTTGAGGGAGGATCACTGCACAGGACCCTATTTCTTTCAAAGTAGACTCCACTCTCCATTAAAAGAGGGGAGGCAGAGAGAGATGTGGTTCCAGCCTCGGCCCACCTTGTGCGGTCTAAACACAAGTGATTCTGTGCTGGCTCCCTGCGCTGCCCTGTCTGAGAGCCACGAGGACACTGCTGGGTCTGAGAAGCCAGCTCTCTCTTCCTGAAGTCAGGGACTGGCAGCGTCACCCTAGGGGCTGGGATCAGGGCTGTGCAGTGCCAGAGACTCTGTGGCTCTCCCGAGGGTGGAGGAGGGACAAAGGAACCCAGCACCTCAGTCTGAGGAGATTTGGCCCTTTTCTGCGGATGCAGCAGGGTGCTGATGACCCCTGTTAACTTAGAGTCACAGCTGTGCTTTAAAGGAAGCAAGAAATTAGTTTATTCCAAGCCAAATATGAGTGGCCATGGCCTAGGGACATAGACTCAAGTGACCGAGGATGGCGTATCCCTCAAAAGAGGTGCTACATGGGCTGCTGTAGCCACAGGACAAAGAAAGTCACAAATGTAGGTGATGTGCACGGGGGTGGGGCGGCAGAGATGGGGCTTCCGCCCGGGCAGGAGATCTTTCCAGCCATCTTAGCTACAGGGCTGCCCCGTTCAGCAGTGCAGGCTGAGAGTTTTACCCAAGCCCTGAGAACATTAGGTCAGCTTCAGCACTGAACGTAAGTGGCTGTTAAAGGGACTAACAGCCCAGATGATAAATTCAGCTCCTGTCTGCCAACATTTCATGTTCCACAGTTAGGATGCTTTACTCCGCCGATGTCAGGCAACAGGATCTATAACAGGGATACAGCTTCTCAGAGATCCAGTGCTACATGAAGCCAGACTTCTGGATGTGGGGTCAGCACCTCCATTCTATTCCCCAGAACACTGTGATGCTGAAAGATAATAACCAGAGTCACCGACAGAAGAAAAGCTGCAGTCGCACGTGTTTGGGGAGAGTGCAAGCTCTGTGAAGCTGCACGGTGCAGGGTGGCACACTGAAGGCCCAGAGAATCTCTCTTGGGGAAACACTGGGTTTTGTGGTGCTGGGTCCTGCACTTGTCAGACCCTAGAAGCCTAGTGCCTGCCCACTCCATGCAAAATCGTATTACATGTTAGTTATTAGCATAGTGCAAATCACCACAATGAGCTGCCAGTTCACACCCACCAGGGTGGCCACAGTGGGAAAGATAGAGAACAGCAGTGTGGGCTCCACACAGCGGTGAGTACGCCAGGGCTGCCACGGCTTTGGAAAGCAGGCTGGTGAGCCCGTCAGATAAACAGGTCCTGGGTCCCCAGCCATTCCATCCCAAGGTCCAGGTCCAAGAAGATGGGGAAGTGGGCCGCAGGAAGATGATCAGACCATGCCCTAAGTTATCTGTTTCATTGTTTCAAAAGTATTTCAAGATAGGCACTAATTTATTTCATTTTACTACTAGTTTCTCTTTGTTCGGGGAAGAGAAAGTTTTGGCTTTTTGTTTTGTTTCTTCTTTGTCTGTAACTGGTACTCCAAGTGACTTTTGGCCATTCTTTTAAGATTGTGATACACAGTATGTTAACTTTTGTTATTCTCTAATTATTTTGTTACAAATTTTGAGTTTTCCTTAATACAAGCAAAAAGTGCTTTTTATAGTATTGATATCTACTTGTATTTCACTAAAAGCAAATGAAAACATATGCCCAGTCTTATTAATAATATTAGAACGGTATTATTCATGACAGCCAAAAAGCGGACATAGCCACCATGGACCTCACGCCTGACGAGTGAGCAGGATGTGGCGTATCCACGCTGTGGGGGACATTTGCACTCAGAAGGGTGCAGGTCTGAACTGCGCTGCCACACAGACGGACCCTGAAAACGGGCCAGTGAGCAGAGCAGACAGCCCCAGAGGACTGGAGGCCAGCAGCCGGTCAGGGGTAGATGGGAATGAAAGCTCGCAGGCCTGGGTGTCTGCTGCTTGCAGTATGGTCATTACTAGGGGCTGTGTAACTCCAAATACACTCGAAACCACTATTCTACATAGTCTAAGTGAGTGAATCGTATTAAGTCAATCCCAACAAAGCTATTTCTGAAGGGGAATTAACAACTGTCAACAGCACAGTAGCTGTCCTGGGTCCCCCAGTACCCCATCACTCCATCTAAAGCATCACTATTGTCTGAGGAGATAAAGTGCCACAGGGCAAGGTTTGAGTGGCTCCTATCAGCTCAAGAAGGTGTGCAGATCCTAAGCAAGCAGCCACTTGGCTGGTCTGTGCCCCAGTGACACTGCTGTTCTTACAAAGTACTTGAAAGGTGACCAAAGAGGGACCCAAACACCCCGGCAAGGTTCTATACGAAGATTCTGCGGGAAAGATGGTGGTGAGCACCATGCCCTATTGAATCTGCTCCACCCTGGCCTTGGCCCCATGCCTGGTCAGCAATGCTGGCCATCCCCGGGCTCTAGAGGCTGCCCATGGCGGTGGGCAGGCCACACCACAACAAGCCCGAGGCAGGCAGCTCTGCTCCCGCTCTAACCCGAGCCCTTCTGCTTGCCTTGCAGTGAAGGCTGGCGGGATGCGGATCGTGCAGAAACACCCGCACACCGGAGACGCTAGAGAGGAGCGGGACAAGGAGGACCAGGAGTGGGAAAGCCCCAGGTGGGTGAGTCTGGTGACTGAGCAGACTTTGCTAACACCATTGTTATGTTAAACATTAACAGGTGTCCTCTGCCCTGTGCTTCTGATAACTAGGCCACATGGTGTGTTTCCTTTCCCAGTGGGTGGGGGTGGTTGTACCAGGCAGGCAGCAGCATGGAAAGTATACCCCTCTTCCATGCAGGTGCAGAGGAGGTGCCTGCGGGCCACAGGCACAGTGGCCGGTGGCCTGGCTCAGCCTAGGCTTCCCAGTTCTGCAAGCAGGGCCCAAGGCCACCCTAAAGCAGCTCACCATGCCCTCCCTGGCTTCTGGTAGGCCACAGCCCCCAGCAACCCTCTTCCCACCAGCCAGGCCACCAGAGTGGAGGACGTGGCAAATTCTCCCAGGTCCCACTCAGGGGACCCCTGAGACCCCAGCTGAGTCTCAGCCCCTGCACAGCCAGGCAGAGGACTTGTGCCAGGCAATCCAGAGGGAGCCAGGCGGCCCGTGAGAGTGACCACACACCCTGGAGTGGCACCTCTGCCCTGTCCTCCTGGGTCTGGGGCCCTCTCTGTTCACCCCGCTGTCCAACAACTGTGTTCCTTGGACATTTTGGTCTCAGCTCTTTTGAGGGGCTTGGCCTGCGCCGTGTGTGACTTTGTCATACACTGTGTGAATGTGCCCACAGAGAGGATCAGGAGCCTTTCATTCTCTGTGCCTTGCCTCCAGGCCATCCCTCAGCAGTGGAGGAGAGGAGGGCACAGGAGGAAACAGGCTTTATTTCAGGCATGAGGAGCAGCCATGAGGTTTGGCTCGTTCCTGTCTGTAGCCTGAGGAGTTGGTGGCCCTGTCCCCAGCTTACACACGAGGAACCAGGGTCCTGCGAGGCCAAATGTTTGCCTTCATCGTCTCCTTCCCTGGAGATGCAGTAGGGACTGAAGTGCAGCTCTGCTGGCTCCAACAGAGGGTCCACCCTGCCCCAGAGCCCTTGCCCACAGGAGGCCCCAGGTGGCTGCTCGGGTGCCCCTGCCCTGCAGCTCCTGGATCAGCCCTGAAGGGGAGAGTAACATTTTGGGGGAAGTTTCTGAGTAATTACTGCCCGTTTTAAATCTTGAGGTAGCAGCATCAGGAACGTCTGGCCGCAGTTCTGGTTTTATTTGTCTTACTTTTGTGTTATCTGATGCTGGGGATTGAACTCAGGACCTCGTGCCTGCTAAGAAAATTCTCCAGTTCCATTTCTCACAGGCTGCTTTTGCAGGGACCTCGGTACCTGGCAGGTCTGCAGTCCTGGATCTGAAAGCCTTGGGGTGCTGCTTATTTCAGGATTCAGGAAGCAGGGCTCTTAGAAGAACCACACAGACTCCAGCAGAGTGAGGCAGAGGCCATCCCAGCCAGCAGCAGCAGAGCTGGCTGCTGTCATAATCTGCCTGTGTATGTGTGTGTATGGTCAGGGGGACCCAGGCGTGTGCCTCTGTTCAGGCCGAGTGCTACCTGCAGGCAGACAGGTTTGGGTCCTCGGAACGCCCTTGAATTCCAAAGAACATGCGAGCACAAGGACCTTCAGCAGTTTCCTCCGCCAGGAGCCTAAGTGTCCTTGCCTTCCTCATCTCCTGCTGCTGCCCAGGAAGGCAGGCAGAGGACAGAAGCAAAAGCCTTGCTGGATTAAAGTCCTGGGCTGTGGCTTTACTGCGTGTTGGTGGAGGGAGGGACCGTCAGCTGCTCCCTGCCTGAGGCGGTGTCCAGAATATGAGCCATGACAGAGCCTTCACCTGTTCAGAGATCTGGGCAGGGGCCGGCGAAGCATTTTGGTTGTGGAGCACTTGCCTGGCATGTACAGGGCTCTGAGTCTGGTCCCCAGCACTGGCAAAAATGAAGACTCAGAGAAAGAGAGCGAGAACTGTTGATTAGACTGTTAGTTTTCTTTCTGCAAATTTTTCCAGGAGACAGAATACAGCATTTCAGAAGATGAGCAATTTAAATCACTATGCCTGAGGATGCATGGTGCGAGAGAAAAGATCAAGGACCCGGCACTTTCTGTTTTAGCATTGTTTTAACTGAAATTTTTGCTCTGTATCTGTGAATACCCAAATATTTTGAAGCAAGCCAGCTACCGCGCGTTAATAGGAGGGAAGGGGCTTGTTGTTCTCCTCGTTGTTGCTGTGATTGTTGCCAGCCACTAAGCTGCTGTGCCAGGCTCCTTACGGATGTGTTGCCTTGTCCTCTGGTTAAGCCAGGTGACACTGAAGGTGTAGAGTGGGAGGAGCTGTGTGTGTTCGAGGCCCTGAGCTTCACGAGCGAAAGTTGTGGGAGTCTTCTGGTCACAAACAAAACAACCTGGTTCCTGCTCTGGTCGTTACTTTTTCTCTGTAATCAGTGCTTGCTTTTGCAGTGAAAAGGGAAGGAAGCCACCAGAGATGAGTCGGTGAATTGGGGCCTGTGACTCTACCCCTCCCCCAGCGCCGGCCTGATCCCCCCTGCAGAGGCTGCCTGGTCCACCACACCCTCCCGGGTGGCTGTTGGGTAATCGAATAATCGCTGTCAGTAGTAATCATCGCCGGTTCCCAAGAAGGCAGTGTGGCTACCTTACCGCCAGGGGCGCTTCCACCTCCGCTCACTCACATGAACCTCAGGATTGTATTTCAGAGTCATGTCTTTATTCCAGGTTACTATTTCCTGTTCAGTGGCTCGCAGATTCAAGTGATTTTCTGGGTCACTCAGTAGATAAGTGGGAGAGCCCTGGCACCTACATCCAGACTCCGCTTCCTTGGCTTGGAGGCTGCGCCTACCAGCTGGCTCCTGTCCTGTTCTGGACCCCTACTGATCACTGATGCTTTGGTGCTGGCGCGCTCCTCACACAGACGGTTGAAGCAGGCTTAGGGAGGTGATCCAGCCTGCTGGCAGCCTGGTCGGTGTTCAGCCCAGAGTTTGTCCCAACTTGGAAGCCTAAGCCCATGGTGTGTTGTAGGCGCCCCTATTTGACATAGACCGCAATCTAGATCCTTCTATAATCAAAACCTACAGGCTTAGAGGTTGCCACAACCTTACCTGCGCTTCTCAAACCCATAATCCTGCCCTTCTGCAGCCTCGCCATCAGGAAATGGGCTAGTTACTAGTTCAGGACAGGACCCCAGGGATTGCATTGGGTTTGATTTGCATTTGGAAAGGCCGAGTTGTTTGCAGAATTTAGAAAACATGTCATTACCCACCTTGGAAATGTCCTATGGCAAGTGACTTGATCATCCACATTACCCCAATCACAACATTTTGAATTTTTGATGTTTTGACTCAAGTATTCTCCAACTATAACAATAAGTGCATGCTGTCAGTGGCCAATCTTTTCCAGACTCTTCTCTGCTTTCCCCCATCATGATTACTGAAGCCTGGTTCACCGAGTCCTCTCGGGTGGCTTTCTTTCCTGTTCCCTGCAAAATCAAGCACCGATTATAAAGCACGTAACAACCAGCACACGAAAGGGGTTATGCTGTGACCAGAAGAAATCCCACAACTTTCCCTAGTAATTATTTTTCTCACTTGCTCTAATCTTATAATTTTCAAGAGATTTAGAAATAATTTCTTATGCCACCTCATTTTTTGAGATGCTACAGTAAAAAGATTGCAACCAAAAGGTGAAAACATTGCCCCAGAATTTCCATCAGGCCGAGTTCTAGTTCTCCGAGTCTTCACGTGGGGGAAGAGACGGCGGCTCTGTGGTGCCAGCTGATGCTTCCTGAGTGGCCGCTGGCTCCTGTCCCGGAAGTGACCTGGTGGAGGGAAGCAGTTTCCTGAGAGCCTGAGGTGACGTACCCAGTGTCGTAGTGCAGTGGAGGACCTGCAGGCATGGAACCGACCTGAAGAGTCACAGTTCACAGGAGGCCACAGCTGCATGTTGGGCACTTCCTAAAAATCCGGCAGGACCAGGCTTAGGCCAAGACATTACAGTGGAACGAGCGCCAGGAGGAGTCAAGTAGGAACAGATGGGTTCACCCCCAACAGGGGTCGGTAAAAATGGGCTAAATAGAAAGGATGGGACTGAGTCGCAGGGATAAAGAGGGAGCAGGCAGCTCTCTGACCTCAGCGCCCTGTATTTCCGCCTCAGGAACCCTGGTGCTGCTTAGCACAGCCAGGATGCGGGAGGGAAGGGGCTTGCATACCAACAGTAACAGATGAGCCTGCCTGTAATACAGAGGATTACTATAACTGCACTGGAGGCTGAGGGAAAAAATGCCACTGATCAATGTAACCACACTGAGGAGGGCGGCAAGTTTCCAAGTAACTCTGGAATAGCATTTTGATTGAATACTGTGAGGCTACAAAGACAAAAAAGAACTATACCTCAATACGGTATTCCAGTTAGTAAGCAGGTTTCTTGAGGGGTTTAGAGTAGCAATTCTGGAGTTGTTCAGTAGGACTGAAAAATTAGCAAAATATTATGGGTCAGGGGAAGTAAGTTTCTTGCTGCCAAAAAAAGAGTTTACAAATTCCAAAGAGGGCTGGGCATGATGACACATGTCTGTAATCCCAGCACTGTGGAAGCTGAGGCAGGCAGAGCGTTGTGAGTTCAAGACCAGATTGGACTACAAAGTGAGCTCAAGTCCAGCCTAAACTGCATAGTGAAACCCTGTCTCAAAAAGACCAAGAAAAAATAATCCAAAAGAGGCAAGGTTGAGGTGAACTTTGTACTATTGGATGGGAATTAAAGGGCTCTGTAAGAACCAATGGTTTTAGGTGAATGGAGGGATGGGTGGCTGGACAGGGAGGCATACATGCACATATGTACACGCAGAAGCAAAGGTAGGCGGATGGTCAGTGTACATACACACACCGCCTACCTTTGCCCACTGAGAGGGCCCACAAGAGGGCCCACAAGAACAGAGCGCTCCAATCAGAGGAACAGGGTTCCTTGGAGAAGTGGCTGATTCCAGAACAAGGAAAAACACTAGATGAGCCTGGAAATCAGAAAGTGCTAGAACATAAAGAAGTGCTCCCAAAAGGATGTGGTCACAGCAGCCACTTGGGAGCCCACCCACCCCGCAATGGTCTCCTCATGGCCAAAGTTGGAACAACTTTTACAAAACAATTGATGACTGCATTGAGCTAGTACTGATCCAGTAAAAATATCCGCAATTCCGTGGCATAAGGAGTTAAGTTTTCTCTGCTGAAGAATTCCAATTCATCAGTGCATAAGGAGGGAGGGCAGCGGTGTGTCACTAGTCTCAGGAAGCACAGGAATTAGGCAGGAAGATCCATCAGTGGGAGGCGGGATTTGTGGATAAAAGCTCAAGGATGACCAGGATATTTGCATAGTCTCGAAGTATCTTCCCCAAATACCACAAACCTTATTACTGGAAGAATACTGTGTTAGTTTCCTGGGATGCTGCTATGCTTTAGCTCTAAAATGTACCCCAAAAGTCTCACTGCTCTGAGGTGGGGCATGCAGAAGGAGATTGAATGGACGATTTCATAGCAACGTGAGCTGTTAGGGAGTGGAGCCCAGGTGGAGGAGATAGGTCCCCAGGAGAGGGCTTTGAGGGGTTTAGCTTTCCTCAGGCTCTTAGCATCCTCCTGCCTGTGGGCTGCCATGAGGCAAGCATCGTTCCTCCACTGGGCCCTTCCACCGCATCTGGCACCCACCTGCCATGAACTGAACCCCCTAGAACCACGGCCCAAAGTAAGCTGTGCGTGGCAGGTCTGCTGTCCCCGCATCATGGAGCTGACTATCCCAGCTGCCGGGCAGCCTACGGTGTGGAGTGCATGGCCTGCCCATCCGTGGGGCTGCATGACTGCCGTAGCGGTGGTGGCAGGCGTGTCCCATGTCTCCTGAGCTTCTGGTGACTTCATGAGCAGCTCTTCTGCCTTTGCCCATGCATCCCTCTTTGTCTGCTTCCACCTGAGGTCTCCCTGCAGTTTCGTCTCTTGTCTGCATGTCTGCCCCTGATCTTCATTTCCTTCACTGGACTGGAGCTGGTCGGATGTTCACCTCTGCAAATACCCTCTTTCCACAGGAGGTCACACTACTGTCCTGGAGGACTGGATTTCAACACAGCCTTCTTGGGAGACACAAATGAACCCATAACAGATGCGAAACTGATTCGTGGCAATGCTTAATGATACAGTACCGTTAGCTGTTAAGAAATAGAAATTTAAGAAGTCTGAGGTTAAAAGACCTATGCTGTGTACCAGCGTAAGTCCTGTGGCCAGCGTGCTCAGGGATTTTTGTCTCTGGGCTGTGTTCTAAGTGCCTGATCTTTAGTGATTCTGGGTGGTGAACCCTGTCAGCATCACACACAGGACCCGCTGCCCTCTTACTCCAGGCTGTTGCCAGCTGCCTTTCAAGCATGTATCCTTTTCCCCAGGATGTATGTGGAGGTTTCAGTGAGGCGGAGGTACCTCGAGCCAGCCAGAGACCAAGTCCAGTGTGACATGGCAGCCCCAGCTCCTGGCATGTGGCGGACCGCAGAGCCCTGTCCTGACCAAAGGCAGAGTCTCCGCGTACTCGGTGCCTGTGTGACAGGCAGCATCCCCAGGAAGGGACCTGCCTGCAGCCTGAGGAGCCTCTGCAAAAAGCCATAGGGAGGCAGAGCGAGATCCTGAGGACACGAGGCATTCAAGGTTGAACAGCCCATCTTCCAGGGAAGGAAAATGGGGAAGAGCCCAGTTGCTGTGGAGCAGCAGCTCTTCCTGTCAGGGTCGCCCATGCGAGACTTGTAGCTCAGCATCCTCAGTCTGCAGCAGCGTGGCACTGATGAAGCGCTGCAGTTTGCAGTCCAGCTAGGGGGCACGGAAGGCATCGCATGGCTGCTGGTCACTGGGGCATGAGGAGGTGGACAGGGCTGGGACAGAACCCCACATTCCTAGCTCGTTCCCAAGGGAGCTGGCAGTGTCAGCTACACGCTAAGTACCTGAGAGGTGGCATCCACGAGAGGCCACGCTGGGACTCTGTTGTCTCCTCCAGCCTTCTCTGTGGCTCTGCAAAGGCTCATCGCCACCTTGTCCCATGGGCAGGACACCCAGCAGGCCACCTCCTCTGGGCAGTAGGGGGCTGGGTGGTCGCAGGAGCAGAATTGTGCTGACTTGCAGTTCTGCAAGCTGAACATTCAAGGTCAGAGCATGAGCAGGGATGCGCCCCTGTGCAGGTGCTGGGATGGCTCCAGGCCTCTGCTGGCTTCTCAGAGCGTCTCGGGGGTCCTCCTGTGGCATCTGCCTGTGCACGCTTGTGTGACCAAACTGCGCCTTTGAAGAAGAGTGTGTTCCTGTAGGGTGAGGGGCTTACCCTGCTTCAGTGCGCCCTTTCCTTAACTAATGACTTCCACAACAACCTTGGCCCCGGATAGGGGCTGGGGGCGGGATGCCAGAGTCTGTTCTCCCAGGCAGGGCACAGTTCCACAGCTGGCATCAACCCCTGGTGCCTCCTGATGGGCAGTGCTGGCTCTCTGGGTCAGCCGTGAGGCCCGTACTGTATGGCAGACGAGCCCCTTCCTCCTGTGCCCACTTGCTGCCCACTGCACTGGGTACCAGGTGGGAGGTTCTCTGCCAGGGTTGCAACTCCAACCTGTAAGTGAGCACTCATCAGTGCAAAAGAATGTTTTCTGAATTTCCCCACTGTGTGCATGTTCAAACTGCGCAGGTGAACTTAGGAAGCGCATAGGAAACGGAGGCTGGGAGACAGCAGTCTTTCAGTTGGGGCCAGCCCTTGCAGCTCTGTGCTTATCATTAGCTAATATCTCAAGGTCCCAATACCCTTGAGGTGGAGTTTCTCATTAGTGATGCAGGATGCGAATCTACATTTCTAACGACCTTGTGAGTAATTTCAGGATGCGCGCAGGGCGGGGCGAGCTTGTCAAATCTGATTAGATTGTGGTGTTTGTAATGTTGTTGTTAATGAGTAGGCGCTAAGAGTCTCCTTTCCATTCCTATGCTTGTATTTGGATTAACTGCAGCCTCCCGGGTATTTCTCATATGAATTTTCTTAAACCCCTTGTCCATTTTGTAGACTCCGGGTTAAATTCATCCTCACTACATCCCCACACAGTTCTGGGCACTTGGGATACATCAGGGACCAAGCTAGGGAACTTAATTCATTACCCGCCCCCCAGCCGAGCACGGTGTTGTCTGTGGTGCAAGCCCCTGAAGAAGGGAAGGGAAGAGCGTCTGTGGTCAGGGACCCTAGTCCTTCCTGGGGAGCCCTCAGGACCACGGGACAGGGTGAGGGACTGTCGGCCTGCAGACCCCCAAAACAGCCTAATGAGATAGATAATGGCAGAATCTCATTTGTATTTGCTCTCTCTTTAGATTAAAAAAGTAAATAGAACAGTTTTTTTTTTGTTTTTCTTACTCTTTAGCTCATCTTTCTGACTGAATGATACCCCTAACCACAAGGGACTGCCCAGTTTTGTTGCTGGTAGAAATTAAACATTTCTTCTAAAACCCACGCGTGTGTGTATTTTAGTCTGATCTATAGCGGTGCGGCTATGAGCATTTTAAGCAGATTTGTCCAGAATTGCCCTAGTACTAGTCAGCTTTGTCCTGGGCCTGATTTCTCCAGAGCCAGCCTGCCTCCTCTCCAGAGCTGGGCACTGGAGGAAGGCAGGAGCCCAGCAGGTGTCAGGGGTGTGGCCGGGAGCAGACGGCAGTGTGTCGCAGGATCCTGGCTGGTCCCCTTGGACCTGGAGTTGAGCAAGGCAGTGCACAAGGCTGGGTTCTGCCCAGGGCTGAGTGCTGCTGGTTAGGCTTTGCGATGGCCTTTGTGCAACCTCTGTTTCCGGAAAGGGTAAGGAAGCCAGGGCTGATGGATGAGCTTCGGAGCAGCCTGACAGCAGAGAGCTCTTCTGACCAGATGCAGAGAGGGCACCATCCCTTCCAGATGCTGCTCTGTGCCTCTAGTCAGCCTCTCCAGACAGACGACTCTTTGTTTCTACTGCGTGGTTCAGAGGGTTCATACTACGTGAGCAAACGAGCGGGATTTAAACCCTCTCTAGCAGCCTGAGCTTATGGGATGACACACGTAACAATAACGACATAGAAACAAGAGCCCTTTATGAGCTCAGTAAAATCACTTACCTAAAACTTCCAAACCCTCTTTATTTCAACAAATCCTGTTGACTTCGACAGCCTCAGACACACAGCACTCCGAAAATCGTGGTGAAACAGCACAAACCAGCTTTGATTCTTTGAAAGGAAAACAGTTGAGTAACTCAGGACCTTGACACGGCTTGCTCCTGGCTGGGGAGGGGGTGGCAGTGGTGAAGATTCCTGCTCGGGCCGTCAGGTCAGTGCTCTCGCTCTCGGGTGGGACCTCCGTGTGGTTCTCAGTTCTCTGTTGCGTGCACCTTCAGGGCGGGGCTGCAGGCACTGGCGGAGTGGCCTGGAGTGCAGCGCGCGTGTGACACTTGGAAAATGCCCAGAGACTCATCAGATTTGGGGCTGGGCATGGCCCAAGAGGTCCCCTGATCCAGGCGTTACCATGTAGGTCCCTGGAGAGGCAGGACTGCAGATTCCGCTGCAGGTCCAGAAGGATCCAGATGCCGAACGTCTGCTGGAGAAGGGGGCCGTGGTTTCTTTGTTTCAGTTGTTGCTGTTCCCACTTCTGTGCACATATCCAGAAGAGCGGGAGCAGGTGCCACAAGGGTGTTCACACCCCTGAGGGTTCACAGAGACCCTGCTTACAGGCCCAGGGCAGAGGTCCATCGACTGACGAGCAAACCACATGTGGGATGCACACAGTCGGAACTTGTCAGAACGAGGAAAGGAATCTGTCCTGCGCCACCACAGGCACGGCCCTTGAGGACACTGTGCTAAGGGAAAGAATCCATGACCGGAGGACACTGCCACACGGCACCCTTGCCTGAGACACCTGACACCGTCATGGCATAGGCACAGGAAGGAGGATGCTGGTACTGGGTCAGGGGCTGGCCAGGATGAGGAGTTAGTGTTTAACATGTACCCAGTTTCAGATTTGCAGAAGGAAAAGTTCTGACAGTCTGTTTCATAACACTGCAAATATACTCAGCACTGCCGAGCTATACTCTGCAAATGGCCACCACGATAAATTTAATTATTGCTTTTTATCACAGTAAATACATTTTGAAGCAAAAGACAAGAAGCCCCTGCTGCTATGGAAGGCGTTTTGTGGCTCCTTCAGAAACTACTGTTACCCCATCACTCCACAAGTCTGCTCCTAAGTGTGTGCCCAAGAGAACTAAAGACGAGTGTTCTGACAAAAACTTATCCATGAGTGTTTGTCAGATCCCCCGGTAGCTAAAAGATGGAAACAAGCCGAATGTCAGTCGATGAATGGATAAACAAAGTAGGGCATATCTCCACGGTGGAATATTACTCAGCCTGAAAGAGAAGGAAGTGCCAGTTCATGTTACCCTATCAGAGGGGCCTTAAAAAGGTTATGCGGCGTGGGTGTGGTGGTACACACCTACAACCCAGGCCTTGGGTGACTGGGACAAGAGGACAGTGGGTTTGAGGCCAGCCTGAGCTGTGTAGTGGGTTCAAGGCCAGCCTCAACTGGTGAGACCCTGTTAGAAAACGAAAAGAAAAAATTAAAAGCTCATTAAGCTAAGTAAAAGAAACCAGCCACAGATAACCAGACACCATATGGTTCCCTGTACTTGAAGCACTAAAAAGAAACAAATCGCACAGACAGAAAGCAGATTGTTGACTGCCCGTGCCTGGGGTCAATGCGGAGTGACTGCTTAATAGCTCCGAGTCACTTTTTTTCTAGGACTCAATAGTGGTGACAGTTGTACACTAATAGGAGTGCATTGAAGCCACTTAATTATAAAATTTAAGGTGCCAGAAAGGTACATTTATGTCCTGCAAATGTTCCCTCCAAAAGGAAGTCCTTTTGCAGGAAAGCAGTAGTCCAGTGGCTGTAGTCCAGTCCAGTCCACAGTTCTGTAGCTGGGAAAGTAGACACTCACTGAGTGCCAGGGCCTCCTGGGGGGCTGTGGCTGGATCCGGGGACCCAGGACTGTTTTGGGCAAGTGAGGATCGAGGCATGCTCATGCGGAAAGGGTCCGTGCTCAAATGACATGGACACGATGGTCACTTGAGGCAGGGCCAGGTGGCGCTGGCTATGGGAGAGGTGAGGCCCACGGGCTGTCCCCACAGACTTCCGTTCTGTGCTGCTGGGAGCTCTGCCGTCCTCCTGGGCCACTTCCCCTGCTGCCTCTGAGGGTTGGCATGACAGGTCCAGGGTGCATCCAGGAAAGTACTTTCCAAAGGCTGAAACAGACGTCTTTTGGTCTTTTTTTAAAAGCAAGAAAAGCTTTTCTCAGTGCTCCTAGCAATGGCTAGAAGTGGGTCACCTGTATCTAAAGCTTCCCCTGTGACTTTGGGACATTGTTGAAATGTTTCCATGGTAATTAAAGCCTAACTTAGATGGTCAGAGTGAGCGGGATATCCACACAAATCAGTATTGAAAACATCAGGTCCTCTAAGGGTGTCATGCTCCTGCCTTGGAGGAACCTCCCAGCCCAGCGTGGGGAGCACTGTGCCCTAAGACTGGCGACACCGGGCTGCATATAGCTGTGCTCCCAGATCTCACAGGCCAGAAGGGCAGACTCCTCAGGGCGGCTGCAGAGCCAAGAAGTCAGAGGGGGAAAAGTACAATCAGGAGGAAGTGGGAGCCGGGAAGCCAGTGACTCACTGCAGCTTGTCTGTTCTGAGCTTCAGTGGGAAAAGTTGTCTCCAGGGGGAAGGGCGGGCCCAAATGCTGCGGGACAGGGAGAGTTTGAGTTCCTCTGCCAAGGCCCCAGAGGTGAAGAGCCCCAGGCTTCACTTTGGCAGGGGAAGAGGGGGAAGCAGGTCAGGTCTGCTCCAGGAGAAAGAGAACCATGCCCAGGCCTTGGCACTTGTCAGTGCTCACTCTGTGCCCTGTTGTCTGAGTCCCTGGGTGATGGGCAAGAAAACCCCGGGCCAAGGTGGGCACAAAGGCCCCTCCCCACCCCCGAGGTTTCATCCCTAAGAGGACAGAGCCAGAGAAGTGACATGTGTCTCCAGGGGGCCTGCGCTTGAGGCAGCCTAGTGTGTTGCTGTCTGGATAGTTTCTCTCATTGCTCCCAGGCACGTTTATGTCACCAAAAGCACAGGTGAGCCTCTTGAGCCAGGCTTCCTGCGTCCATCTGACGCAGGCAGGAAGCATTTCCGTCTTGGAAAGTTCCAAGCTAAGGGAGCGGTCCCGGGCTTCCTGAGGTCCAGGCCAGGGCTGCTGCTGGCCCAGGGAAGGCACCGAGCTTTGGCACCTCTGTCTCCATCTGCAGCACAAGTTTGTGCATGCATCTGTTTCTTTTCTGGGACTTTGATGTGCAAATGAAGTGAGAGAGACTTGAGTGGGCATCTGCCAGTTTTGTTTAGAGTAAAATATACAGCGTGCTGAGTACAGTCCCATATTTGTGGGGTTGCTGAAGCTGGAACTGTGCTAGATCACTGGCGGAGAGAAGATAATAGAAGTAAGGATGCCAGGAACACCCCAAGATTGGCTCATCCACAGCAAGGTGGTCTCCCTGCTTTGGTCGGGGGCAGGGGAGCTCCTGGGTGGACGTTTATGAGTTATCTCAGCCTTAAACAGAATTAAAGTCGCTGTGCTTTTCAGATTTCTAGTTTAAAGTTTTCAGAGTCATATTCTGGGACAGCACAGGAAAGGGAAAGGGAGCCCTGTGCTCCCTTTGAGCTTGTGCCCTGGACCGGGCTTGCAGGCTCTCCTTGGTGCTGTATGTTTTGCTTTGCACCCAAACAGTGCACCATTTGTGTTTTGGCATTTGCTTCAGTAATCTTCCAAGCTGACGCCTGGCAAACCCACATGGCTAGCCAACAGTCCCCCCAGGAGGCGAGGTGGGCAAGTGGCCTTTTCAGTGCCTTTGGGAACTCTGCCAACACCAAAGCGGTCCCAGCTCAGCATTGCAATGATGTGTATAATCCAGTGCGTAGCCAGCAGGACTAGCCGAGGCGGGACCTCGGTGTCACATGCCTGTGCTTTTCCCCGTGTTTGTGGCCTGGCACCTGGGACACACTCTCTCCTTGGAAAGTGTGATGTGTTAATTAGTGACCCTAACACCCTGCCTTTCTCTTCACTAAAGAGCTCAGCAGCTCTTCCTCTCTTGCGTGGGCCTATGCTCCCACCCCTCCGCTGCCTGCCTGCCCGTAGCATCCCACAGGTGGGAAGTTTTGCCACGATGGTACAGAGGAGTGAAGCTGCATGACCAGCATCCTGTGTGTCCCACTGTCCTTGGAAGGCATCGTGGCAAAATGCAAGGACCCCCTTAGGAGGCTGAGTTGGTGGGCTGTATCACCAGCGAGCTTGGTGACCTTGTGCACACCAAATTATTATGGGATAGAATCGGCACGAGCATGTGCATGGAGTTGGATTTTAATCATCCTTCTAGTTTTTTGATCCAGTGAGCTATCAATGCAATAAC